ACTTTGGGGGTTTAATAATTTTTAACGAATGTTTAGAGACAATTTTTTTTTTTTTTTTTTTCATTATTCATCAACTTTACATTCTAAGAATCACTCAAATGTGTGTTAATAAACTTTCTCTAACAGTCTTTTCTCTAATGCCTTTGTTTAATTAGTTTTATAAAATGTTGTTCTCTGCAGCAAAATGTCTTGCAGGTCAAGGGTGTTGAATAATTTTGATTGCAACTGTAGGTGCCTGTGTCTGATTACCCTGCACAAAAAAAATAAAAATGGCTGAGAACTGAGGTTGAAGTCTAATGATGTCCTATTATTAGTACAAATTAAGTTTATACTTATCCAAGTATTTTTGGGGGTATACGATGGTGAAAAACTAATTTTAATTTTGTGTATTATTTGATGAATATCCTGACCTTGGCCGTTGGTCTGTGTGCACGACTGCTTGTTCATGAGACTCTAGTGTGGCAGTTCTGAATGATTAGGCTCATATGTTTTAATGTTATAAGGCCATGTTAATTTCTGACCCTGCTACAAGAGAAGCATCACCAATCAATAAAACACTGTGGTATCTTTAACAACTCTTTATATTGTTTTTCATCATTACAAAAAGGGACATATTTGACAAAAAAGTACTAAGATTTAATAGGAAGGAGAAGCAAGTGTCAACTTTAAAGTTTGACCACATTAACTACAAAAAATTTGATTAGTTGTTAATAATCATTTTAATCTATTGACAGTCTTAAGCTACATTAAAAAATAATCTATTTTAGACATTATTCTCTCTAGATATGGAGAAAATTCTTGAAATCTAATGAACTATAACAAACTATACAATGTATAACTATTTCTTTTTGAGGTTGCGGTTGTCATGTCCGATATTCTGCCTTTGCAAATTGAGCATACAACAAATCTCCATTTATGAAAATGGTTTCAAAGTGTTTATATTCTAAAGAAACGATCTTGGGATCTTCTGTTCTCCTCTACTTTCCATATTTGGTACGTTGCAATTTTTCTGTGTAGTGTCATGTCAGCTGTGCAGACTTGGTGCTAGTTGATGGTTCCATGGCTTGCAATTTTTTTTAATGAAAAATACATTTGTTATAAAGTCATTGTCGAGTCATGCAGTTCAGGTGCAAGTCAAGTCTCAAGTCACTGGTTATTAAGTTAAATTGAAGTAATTTTCTTAATTCGTAATGAGCTTTTGACACCATATGAAATGAACCCACGGAAAAAAAAAATAACACAAAATCTTTGTCTGTTGCCAATGATGTTGGTAGATTTTATAATTGGCATAAGGAGGACCTGCTAATTTTGTTAAAGGGGACCTGTTATTCAAAATAGTTTTTGAACATAATTATGTGTCCGCTGAGTGTGTCCACAACCACCACAGAGCCGTACTTAGTCTGCCATGTTTATCTCCTCACTAGAGCTTTTAAAATCAGCACTCAAGTAAAAAATTTATTCTTATAAAACTACTTTAGTTATTCTGTTTGTTTTGTTGTTTGATTCATGGACAAAGTACACAAATCAAGTACTTGAGTGAAAGTACAGATACGTATAATAAAATATTACTCCAGTAAAAGTACTCCTTTTTCAATTTTACTCGAGTGAAAGTACAAAAGTACTCGATTTTCTATGTACTTAAGTAAAAAAGTACTGATAGATAGATTTATTTAGCAATTTTATATAGGCTACTTAATTAAATTTTATATTAGCACACATTTTTTTATAATCCTACTGCTCAAAATACCTGGGATTTTCCCAAAATAACCACCATATGGAAGCAAGATATATTTTTGTTGTTGATATGGACTACGTTGACGAGAGTGATGTAGTAATGTTCACTGTGAAGCTTACACTGCGATGTACCTGAGAGAAAACAGATTTGACCATCTGATTTTCACCAGTAAGAAAAAAGTGTTTTAAAGCTTGTTGTTTTGCAGAACATCACAGTTATATATGACATGAGAATAAAGCCTGAAGTTAGGAAGAACATTTTAAGGAAAATATCATTATAATCTCATAATGATTTTTTTCTTCTCAAACCTTGTCTGTGGTGTAAAAACACCCCTGGCCAAATGCCCCCAGAGGGCATCACTTCCTACTTGGATAATTACTGTATTTACCATGTTCTGAACATCACATCCTTTCTTTTCCCCCAGATGTAATCTGCCTAGGTGGTTGAATAAAAAATATTTGGACTTTATATCTAAAAATTACCTAAACTTAGCACCAGCAAGCTTGTTAGCTAGACAGTTAGCATCAGCTAACAATATTTACTTATTTTCAGTATGGTTATGATTAATAAACATTTATATCTGTCTACTCCGCTAGTTAATCCAAACAATATAAAAATGTATTCTGTTGATAAACAGTATAAAAACAGACATCACATAGGGCTAAATGCGTAGCATTTTAATACAATTTTTAACGTTACGGCAGCGGGGAATATGAACGTGCATGAGTTATTTTATTTAATCATAGAGACACAACATAGAGACACTGATGCTGATCTGTCTGCATCAAGCGGCAACCTTCCGGTCTCTCTCGTGAAACCAACACGGAAGTGACTAAAGCTGCAATTCATCGACTGGCCGCTAGAGGCTGGCTCCAAAAGGGAGTCAGTCCCATAGACTCCCCATGTTAAAATGCCCAACTTTACAGCAGAAAAAAATTTCTTTACAGCCTGGTACAAAAAAATATTTTGGTCTATATAGCTAATTCTGTCCTTCATGACAACTGTGAGGGGGGTGAATTTTTTTGGAACTCATCTGTTTAAATTATATTAAGCCTTAAAGTTCTGCATAATTAAGGGCGTGGCCACTTGAGTGACAGGTGGATTGCCACTGCTGTCACCACCGTCGAGCTAGGTGGGCGTGGTTTCAGCAACCAGCTCCCGCCTCTTTGCCCATTTTCGATTATCCGGGAGTGACACGCTGCCAAGATGGCGACGGCTGGATCCGCCTACTTTAGGCTTTAAAAACGCTCTTCGGAAACCTACGGGTGACGTCACAGACACTACGTCCATGTTTTTATACAGTCTATGGTCTGCATTCAAGCATTTCAGTGGGCTTAAATAGATCACCCTTTACAGCAGATTTAGTTCACAAACAACTGACTGTTTTGACCTAAATATGATTTTCAGTTACAATAATTAATCCTAAAATTCGACGTTAGTAACTTACTTTTAGCAGCATCAAGATTTCCCGGTTCTTACTTGTGAATTCAGTTCACTGGAGACTCGCACTAAATGGTTAATTTGAATCAGTGAGTTGTCAACTCGAGAACAGCTGCAATTGGATCATTCCAATTTGTGAATGAATCGTTTGGTGCAGTTTGCGAACCGATTTAAAAGGTTTATTGAAAAGAATCAATTCGTTCTTAAATCAGACACCGCTTCTGCGTGTCGGAGCACGTGATATATTATAAGGAGTAACGATAAATTTTATGAAATTTAGTGAAGTAAAAAGTACGATCTTATGCTTTGGAATGGAGTGAAGTAAAAGTAAAAGTTACTCAAAATAAAACTACTCCAGTAAAGTACAGAAACTTGAAAAATATACTTAAGTACAGTAACGAAGTAAAACTACTCCGTTACTGTCCACCACTGCCAAAATATCGGCGGCTCAAGCAAGGAACAGCAGCTCATTTGCATTTAAAGATACATGCATGAAAGCAGCATGTTTTTGCTTCTGTTAAAAATGGGCATTTACACTGTTATAATAAATGATCTGTGGGGTATTTTGAGCTGAAACCTCACAGACACATTTTAGGGACACTTGAGACATATATTACATCTCGGAAAAAGGGGCATAATAGGTCCCCTTTAATCAGCCATGCCAACATGATTACTGGCCAGTGTAATAATAAACATTGCCGTATGCCACAATAAACATTGGCAATTGCCAGGCATTATTACAATACATGTTTACATTACAATACATTAAGTTATGAGTAAAAATTATCAAATTTGGCATTCTGACTGACATAACCATCACAAAAGAGATTCTAAAAATCATGAACAATATTGTTTCCAGTTAATTTTTTATTTTAATTTAAGTTTCTATAAAATTTGCATGCTGTGCAAAGCAAACAGACAAAAAACCTGAAATGTATTATGATAGTATGTCATTCTGAAGGCCCCTCAGATTTTCTACAGGTCAGGCATTAACAGTGATGATAAGAATATGACAAAACTTTCAGGAGATATTTTCTGTTCCAGGTACTACCTGTGTTTGCAGCTGCGAAATGACATCCTCTCTGGCTGTCTGCCCTGTTCCTTTGTCACACATGCTCTGCTGGGCTCCTACACTGTGCAGGCGGAACTGGGAGACTTTGACAAAGATGACCATGGCTCCGACTACGTTAGTGACTTCTGCTTTGCCCCCAACCAAACTCGCGAACTGGAGGAGAGGGTGATGGAACTACATAGAACTTACAGGTCTGAGAGAGATATTACAGACTGTATTTATTACAGAGAGATTTTACAGTACTTGTTTAATGCAAAATGAGATTACATTACAGATTATATTGATATTACAACCAATATATGTAATGTTCCTTGCCTATGGCCTGAGGTGCTGGGATAGGCTCCAGCATCCCTGTGACCAGGCAGTCAGGAAAGGCAGTTTGGACAATGGATGGGATGTATAATATTACCAAATGTTAACAAATATTCTGAACCGTTTCAGAATAGTTTTATTTAGTTTATTTAGTTTTATTATAAAACTTTTAATAAATATATCAGTTCTTTAAATACTGAATCAGTTCTGATCATAAATTCTATATGGGTCAGCTATGTTTGAAGGCATTGTAAATGCTGAAATGCACACCTGTGACTGTCAGGGGCATGGATAACCAAAATGGTTATAATGGTTATTTTCTTCCTGTTTCTCAGGGGAATGACACCTGCTGAGGCGGAAATGATCTTCGTGGAAAATGCAAAGAAACTTTCCATGTATGGTGTCGACCTGCATCATGCTAAGGTACATAAAAATCACCTGGTACCATCTGTAACTACGTACAACTGCTATAGACACTACAAGAGCAAGTAGTTTGTAATCAGTACCACTAGTGAATCTAAAAATCATACACATCTAAAAAATGTTTACTAACAGTTAGTATTAGGCAACCTTCTTGCAGTAGAAATTGTGTAATTTAGCTGACTGTGCCTTTAATAATCACCCATTCTTTCTGAGGCAGGATTCAGAAGGGATTGATATCATGCTGGGCATCTGTGCCAATGGTCTATTGATTTACCGTGACAGGCTGAGAATCAATCGATTTGCCTGGCCAAAAATCCTCAAGATCTCCTACAAAAGGAGTAATTTCTACATCAAGATCCGTCCTGGAGAGGTAATCAGATCTTTCAGAGGATCTTAGTGCTAAACCATGAAAATTCCACAAAAGTATCCGTCTCTTGAATAAACACAGAACAAGCAAACAGTGGCATATTGCTGAAAACATTAAATAGTCTAAGTAAGAGGAAGTCTTGGCTTCATATTTGCACATGATTGCACACACACACACACACACACAATATGAATAGAGATTTTTAATGTGAAAGCATTTGAAAATTGGTAATTTGATGTTCTTTAACTTCACTTTGTTAGTAGATCACCCGTGGAAATTTCCACTGCCATCTTCACTTTTATGAGACTGTGATTTAGTAAACCTGGCCCATAGATACTTGCACACTCTCAATTTGGCCATAGAATTAACTATTGGTGACCCTGAGATTTTCATTTACTACAGACAATTTTTAAGTCACTTGACTACTGTGTCAATAGAACAATTGCTTGAATCTTAATGTAAAAGGGAAATTAACTGATTGGCAGAAGTCTTGGACCCTGTTGAGTCCTGCAGTCTAATTGGTAGTTACTTACTCTCAGCCTAACCATCTTGCCATTGAACACAGCCTATACAGGTCCCCAATGCAACTGGCTCAGTCATTATCTCTTAAGTTTAAGTGTACAAAGTGTAACAATGTTTAAATGTAATTGGTGGAAAGCTCAGAAGCAAAACTGTTGCATTACCAAAGGTATTCCTGGATAAGAGCTTACAGTTGTTGTTTTTTAAAGATCCAAGATGGCGCCGAAGACGGCTGCCTCAGTTTTTGGCTCTCCAGTTTTTGTACTGTTTTTGTTCGTTTTTCCTGTTTTTTGTTTCTCAAACACGATCAGTTTTACCAGGGATGAACTGCTGAACATTCGGCAGTACACATCACACAATCTTCTACCGGATTTCGTTTATTCTGACGTTTTGCTGAGCATTGTAGTTGGCGGAGAAAAAATCTGGTGCTTTTCCGATCTAAAAGTGCTTTTCATTAACGCCGTTCTGTTCGCCGAGGGAGTTTCACTCGTTCATTCTCATGAGTGTTTACATTCCACCACAAGTGCACGTGAGCTCAGCTTTACAGAAACTCGCTGATTAGTTCACAGACACAGAGCAACAACACCCAGACTCTGTTTTAATCATTCTCGGGGACTTTAATGAAGCAAATCTTTCCCGTGAACTGCCAAAATACAGACAGCATGTTACATGTCCCACCAGAGACAGTAATATACTGGATCATTGTTACTCCACAATAAAGGATGTATATCGCTCCGTCCCCAGAGCAGCTGTAGGACTCTCTGACCACTGCCTGGTTCATCTTATACCGTACAGGCAAAAGCGTAAATCTGCTAAACCTGTAGTAAAGTCTGTAAAGAGATGGACCAACGAAGCAGAGCAGGCATTACAAGCCTGTTTCGACTGCACTGATTGGAGTGTTTTTTGAAGCTGCCACCAACGATCTGGACGAGCTCACGGAATCTGTAACATCATATATCTATAGAAGATGAAGATGGCGCCATTGTGGTTGTTGGCTTGCCGTCGCTCCTGTCCTCTGCTGTATATCCTGTACGTTTTGGTGCTATCTATGTGTGTGTGTGTGCTCAAGGAATCAGTACCTTAATTTCCTATTATCGCCAATCCCTTCTATCAGCAATCCTCTCGCTCTCTCAGATACTCTGATAAATTTTTCTTGCATATACCTCGCTCTCGCTTGAAATTTAAGGGGCATCGGGCTTTTTCTGTAGCCGGTCCTTGAATATGGAACAGCATACCTCTGGACATTAGATCTGCGCCTTCCCTTCCTGTTTTTAAATCCCGCCTGAAGACTTATCTGTATTCCTTGGCTTTTGGATGAAATGTATGTTTGTGTATGTTAATGTGTTTTGTATTGATTATGTGTTTTTGAGTCATTTCTTTTTATTCTCTTAATCTCTACACTCTAAAAAAAATGGTGCTAAATAGCACTAAAAGCAATTATTTGGCTCGTAATCATAGGGGAACCACTTTTAGTGCTATTTAGCACCTATTTTTACAGATGCTATATAGCACCTTTGTCAAATGGTGCCATGTAGAACCATAAGAGGTGCCATATAGCACTTTTTCTCAACAATGGTGCACCAATCATAACTCATCCATGGCTCCCAGCATGCATTGAGACATGAATAAATTATGCAGCTGCATTGTCTTAGTATTTTCTTTTATTCTTACTATTTGCTTTTATTTTTGTTGTGACTTTTTACTGCCCTGTTTTGTGATGTTCAAAAATCATATCAAAATTATCAGAATATTTTGTCACCATTGCTGAGATTCACATGCTGATTCTTCATGTCTTTGAGTGACAGAATTGAAACCTCTTTATAACCCATAATTCTAAAAGTGGTTTATACAATTTTCTCACATTGTCACGTAGTATCATAGAACTGCAATAATATAAAACTCATAATAGAACTACAGATTTGATAAAATGCAACCAGAGACTCAGACACATGAAATGATTTTACCATAAGTTCCTTGCCATCACATATGTGTTGTATAAACATTATTATAACAGCCAAAGAGAAACTTATTTTAACTTAAAATAAAAGTCAAGGATCAAGAGGCAACTAAAGCAAACACTATTCACCAAAACGGTAAGTTGAAAAGAAAAAAAAACATCTAAACCTTAGTTCTCAATAAAGAACTTCTGTTTTAGATACTCCAGAAATAAAGTCTAACTGGTTAGTAATGTGTGAAGTTGGTGTTGCTGTTTGTGGAGAGGTCCTTTTTTTCTGAGGTCAATGGTTTCATGTGGGGGCCCTAGAATATTTCCTTATGGGGGCCTTGTGGACAAAAAAAATTATATCTTCAAGAAATAGACTGTATTTTAATGTTGTTTTAACCCTTTCCCCAACTAAACTAAGAGACTAAGAGAGAGTTAAAGAACCTTTAAAGGACTTTACAGGGGCTTAGAGGTTTTACGGTAGTGGTGCTATATAGCACCTCATCGACTCCAAAGAACCGCTGAAGAACTATACAGGGGCTTACAGGTTCTTTATATGGTAGTGGTGCTATATAGCACCTTAACCACTCCAAAGAACCGCTGAAGAACCTTTTTTATAGAGTGTATATTTACTTTATTTGTGTATGTACAGCACTTTGGCATACACTAGCTGTTTTTAAATGTGCTATATAAATAAACTGACCTTGACCTTGAACTATATATCAGTTTATGTGAAGACGTGCATCCCTACCAGGACTCATTTAACATTCAACAATGATAAGCCATGGTTTACAGCAAAATTTCGTCATCTTCATCAGGCCAAAGAGGACGCCTACAGAAGGGGGGACAGAGTCTTGTACAATCAGGCCAGAAACACACTGAATAAGGAGATTAGAGTGGCCAAGAGGAACTATGCTAAAAATAGAACACCAGTTTTCTGCAGTCTTGTACAATCAGGCCAGAAACACACTGAATAAGGAGATTAGAGTGGCCAAGGAACTACACTAAAAAGCTAGAACACCAGTTTTCTGCCAACAACCCTGCATCAGTATGCATCGGTGTGGCCTGTAAAACATCACCAACTATAAGACACCATCCCCCAGCACTGAGGCCAATCAACAACTTACTGAAGACCTGAATGAGTTTTACTGTAGATTTGAAACTCCCAGTCTAACACCCCACACCCACTCTGAACATCTCTCCACACAACCATCAACACCTCCTGCAACCCCCCTCTTCCCCACTCCTGCGTTTCAGATCAGTGAGGATTATGTGCGCCAGGTCTTCAGAAAGAACAAGAGAAAAAAGGCACCAGGCCCAGACGGTGTGACACCAGCATGTCTGAAAACCTGTGCTAACCAGCTGGCCCCCATCTTCTCACAGATCTTCAACAGATCACGAGCTGTGCGAAGTCCCTGCTTCAAACGCTCCACCATCATCCCCGTCCCAAAGAAACCTAAGATAACAGGACTTAATGACTACAGACCTGTGGCTCTAACGTATGTGTTATGAAGACATTTGAGAGGTTGGTGTTGGCTTATCTGAAGGACATTATTGGACCCTTACTTGACCCCATGCAGTTTGCTTACCAAGCAAACAGGTCCATGGATGATGCAGTCAAGGAGGAACCCCCCTGCACTCCCCCCACTCACCATCATGGATAGCACTGTAACGACAGTGGAGTCATTCAGGTTCCTGGGCACCACCATCTCTCAGGACCTGAAGTGGGACACTCACATCGACTCCATTGTTAAAAAGGCCCAACAAAGGTTGTACTTCCATCGTCAACTGAGTAAATTCAACTTGCTGAATCAGTTCTACTCTGCCGTCATTGAGTCCATCCTGTTCACTTCAATAACTGTCTGGTTTGGTCCAGCTACAAAATCAGACATCAGAAGACTACAGAGAATGGTTCAGACTGCTGAAAGGATTATTGGTGCTCCCCTGCCTACCCTCCAAAAACTGTATACATCCAGAGTGAGGAAAAGGGCTCAGAAAATCACTCTGGATCCCTCACATCCAAGCCATCTCCTTTTTGAACTTTTGCCATCTGGTCGGCATTACAGAGCACCAAATACCAGGACAGCCAGGCACAAGAACAGTTTCTTTCCCCAGGCAATCTACCTCATGAACACTTAATGTTTTCCCATTGTGCAATAAAAGTTTGTGCAGTAACCTTATACTTATTTATCACCCTAAATCCTAGTACATCCCTACAACTTATTTATCTTTATATTTAGATTCTATCTATAGCACACCTGTACATACAATTTATTCTTTTTTTTGTGGTTTATTTATATTTATGCATGTGTATTTTATTCAAATCTTATTTTTATTATATGTGTTGTTGTTCTTGTCTCTGTGTACTGGAAGCTTGTGACACTAAAACAAATTCCTAGTATGTGCAAACAGACTTGGCAATAAAGCTCTTTCTGACTTCTAACTTGATGTGCATTTTCAAATCTCTTAGTACAAAAATCCAAACTGATCACACTTGTAACACCACTAGTTATTCTTTCAAAACTGATCTCATGCTTTCATT